GCCAGAGGAATAATCGGAATCGGAATTTTTTAATGTTTTAAATGTTGAATGTTTTTATTGTTTCAGCATGTTTATCGATCTCCCATTTCTGTCAATATAGTCATTGCACGCAACCTTAAACCCAGATGATCGATGATGTGACTTGTTTAACATGATCAACCCAGTTATTTTTGTAAGATCAACTCTGGAAGTATTCCTTCTTTCAAAAAATATAATTTGATCTAATTAATGGAGATTGCATATGAAAGTAAAGTGAGTGAGTGAAAGCAATTGGGATGTTGTTTAATATTTATCATCTTTACTATTAATCTGGTGTCGTGCCAAAGACCTGATTTCAATATTATGCGGGAAACAGAAATCCGATCGGTTATCCAGATACAGAGGCTGTGAACAAATATAAACGCACCATGTCCTGATTGGCTAATGATCCGATCTGCTTGATCGGATCACGGTGATCGCATGTTAATGCCAACTTGTAAACGCAGCCTTCGTCATGAACGCTAGTTGGTGCGCCAGTATAATCGGTCCGCCGAAACTCATCCAGTGAGAAACGTTCCGCGGTGCAAAACTAAGTGTGATTAAAATAATTTGTGTAATTAATTAACGCGTTAAAGTCTGTAATTAATTCATCTTAATTAACGCGTTAAAGTCCCGGCCCTAATTTAGATCTATTCCCATCACATACAATGTTGCCGTGATGACTGAGCATTGAGCAAGCAGATCACAGTCTGTCTATCGCGAGCATGAAGATCTTATCATTGCAATGCAGTTTCTGCACTCTCTCTAATGCTTTCACCAATGCAAACACGATCATGTAAATACAGTAAGAGCTTCGTTGTGCAGTGTAACGTGCGTCATTGAAGTCATAACGAGTTTGGCAAGTGTCCAGATAAACTCGCGCTGTGGAAAGATTGTTCTTTGATCGCTTTCTTTATATAATTTATTCACAATTTAAATACGTTTTTTTTTCATCCTACTAAAAGAAACGATGTGAAGTTGATATTTTAGTCACTGGCTTGACTTACTGATGCATAAACAGTATTGAACGATTTTGAGAGAAAGATTACCTGTCTGAACTTGAACAATTAACGTTACACATCAGAAAGTGTTGCTTGGTAGCTCGATACGAGGCCAGCTCTGTATTGGCCCAAGTTGAGGAAACAGTCGTCAGTGAAATGTTTGGAAATTTCCAGAGAAAATAAAATTAACCCATTGTTTCTTCAGAGGCTCGGATGAAGGAAATAAAAAATACTTTTGTGTTCATGTGTACATCCAAACACTGAGCAACTGCTATGCTTCGGCTGCGCAGATCCGCCTGGCATTGAAGATGGGCTGGCATATGCAAATTCTTGGAGTCGTACATATTAATGATGCCGACTGTTGCGTCACAGTCGGTGTTATGTGGAGATTCGCCTATTTTTCAGGGGTGTTTTTCAAAAACGAGATTTTAGTAAGAAGGAGAAAACAATGGTGTTTGAGACTCACTGTATGTCATGTCCATGTACTGAACTCTTGTTATTTAACTATGCCAAGATAAATTCAATTTCACATTCTAGGGCACCTTTAATAATATTACCAGTTCCATATTATCTTTATTAAAAAATAAGACAATGAATGGTTTTATTTTTTGAATTAGACTGCATTCTTGTCAATTTCTAAATGTTTACTTTTTGATTTATGAATTATAACAGACTGATGGGGAAAAAAAATTATTACTTTTTAAAAATTGGTTTTATTATTATTTAAAGGGGTCATATAATGGTACATGCACCTTTACAAGTTGATTGTACTGAAATGTGTGTTGGCAGTGCCTGTACACAAACATCATATAATGATAAAAATCCATCCAGTGGTTTTGTTTTAATCTCCTTGTATGTTTTCCCCTGCCTCAAATCAAGCCGTTCGTTTTTGTGACGTCAATAAAACGGACGCCCCTCCCACGACTGTTGATTGACGGGAGCGTTTCAACACAGACCCGCCCTCGCACATGAGGTAGCTGTCAATCATAGTCTGCCCCGCGGCGCGGCGCGGCGCGGACCGGACCGGCGCGGTCATTGTTGATATGCTGGAGCACTGTCTATGAGCAGAATGGCGTCTAAGCCATTGTGGTGTTCTGTTCTTGGGTGTAATAACGAACACAGTCATTTTTAATGTTCCTGAATCCGAACCGCTGAAGACACAGTGGCTGAGTTTTGTTTTCGAAGGGAATATTCCACACGAGCAACGTCAATGCTTTCATGTTTGCGCGAATCATTTCACACACCAGACTGCTTTATAAACGAGGGTCAGTATAAAGCTGGATTTGCTAAGAAGCTTTGCTAAAAAGGATCGGTACCAGATATTCGTGTTCCTGCTGAACCTCCAGAAGAACGGAAGTGAGTGAAACGTTTTATTAAACTTTATATTAATATATTAATCTTTGCAAATCGCTAGCTGCACGCTTCACAATGAATGCGTCTAAGGTTTACACTCAGTCAGGGTACATTACGGCATGTTTTCTATGTATGACGTTCTCAATATAATTCATAATTCCACGTTTATACTGAACAACGCGTTATGGTTATTTTGTTATTGTGTTACAAACGGTGTATGCACAGAACAGAGGGGCGGAGTGAGCGCAGCTCATGATCATTTAAAGGCATATGCACTGAAACGGCGTGCTGAAAACAGAGCTGTTTTTGACCAGGTAAAATAAGTGTTTTCTTACAATATTAATGAGAATTTTTAATTAAAGTATATTACAAACTTTTAATTTAGACCCTAAAGAATCATATTAGCTTGTACAAAAATGGCATTATATGACCCCTTTAACAATTTCTTGCTTTTTTGTTAGTTTTTATTAGTTGTAATTTTTATATAAACATTTAACTTTTAAAATAAAGGTTTTACAACAACATCACCATCTTCTGTTATGTGGGCCTCCATGTTCATCTATTGTACAGTATATGATATTGGTGGAGGGTGGTGGGGGCCCACATCAATATTTTTTCAGGGGGCCCCGAATCCTCTAGCTACGGCCCTGGGCACAATGCTCTGAAAGAGTCTGAGAAGTTTCGGACTAGGGCCACCTAATGGTGAAAAAAAATGATTTACATGCTTAGAACTTTGGATTTGGTTGACTTATTTTCACGGGAGTCATCTCCTTACATTCCTGAATCCTTGCCGAGTCTAAAGATACCAAATATTCTAGGTTTTGCCTTATGGTTAGCGCAATGTTGTAAATTAGCGCTTAAAAAACATTTACCAAATATCTTCGAAACCGTTAGACCAATCGAGACGAAACCACCTTAGGAAGTTAGGTTGTTGGAACAAATACCCAAATGTCAAAATTTTGATAGTAAGTAGCAAAAATGTCCAATCAAAGTCACCCATGGGTCATTTTTTATGCTCTTATACATGTAAATATCTATAGTCTATAACTCCAAAACAAAATGAGATATTTTCACCAAATTTGACACACACATGTATGGGCTCACTCTGAGAACACATAAAAAAGCGGTTGAACTGCACCACTTGGAGGCGCTATAATAGAACAAAACAAGGACATTGCCATTCATTACAATATAATATCATGATATTAAATGCATGCAACACTTTACTAATGCATTGGTGTACCCATACAAAACTCGGTAAGTGTCTTGATAATCCATGTATGATTATATGATGATGAATGAACGAACGAACGAACGAATGAATAAATGAGGCATTTATATAGCGCTTTCATATGTACTACTGTACACCCAAAGCACTTTACAATCATATCAGGGGGTCTCTCCTCAACCAGCACCAGTGTGCAGCATCCACTTGGATGATGCGACGGCAGCCACAGTACAATAGCGCCAGTGCGCCCACCACACACCAGCTATAGTTGGAGAGGAGAGAGAGTGATAGAGCCAATTCAGTGGATGGGGATTATTAGGAGGCCATGATTGGCAGGGGCCAATGGGTGGAATGTGGCCAGGACACCGGGGTTACACCCCTACTCTTTTACGAGAAGTGCCATGGGATTTTTAATGACCACAGAGAGTCAGGGCCTCGGTTTAACGTCTCATCCGAAGGACGGTGCTCTTGACAGTATAGTGTCCCCGTCACTATACTGGGGTGTTAGGACCCACACAGACCACAGGGTGGTCCCCTGCTGGCCTCACTAACACCTCTTCCAGCAGCAACCTGGTTTTCTCAGGAGGTCTCCCATCCAGGTACTAACCAGGCTCAGCCCTGCTTAGCTTCAGTGGGCAACCAGTCTTGGGCTACAGGGTGATATGGCTGCTGGATGATAATCATATGATATGATGATAATCATACTTTTAGTTACTGTATATATGATTTTTCAGCCATTTTGCCTAAAATCATCTTTAAATGTCTTTAATTTCTCATTGTTGCAGTTGATCTGACACTCCCAGCCATGTTGGCATGTCTTATTGTCTTCTTTGCACTTGGCCCCGATAATTGATGCTTGCAGCTATATTATTTCTCTTGTTTTTGCATGGGTTCTTTTTTTTTTTTGTATGACAGCCTAGCAAAAAAAAAATTGTCTGCACAATTTAGCAAAATACTTACAAAAATGATTACCATTTTTAAATAATATTTAAATAAAGGGTGAAGATGTGAATTTTCCTAGGCCGGACATCTCTTTTGGCAAAACATTCCGTTTGTGTAACTACTCTTTCATTTTTATGGCATCGACAAACAATGATTGGCAGTCATAAAACAAAGCAATTCAATCATTCAGAATCAGATTTATAATAAATATATTTAAATCCAAGATGTCATTTTATTTCTGATATTTCTCTTTTGGCTAGTAGAAGTTCTGTATGGCAGGTAACTTAATTTTTTTGCCAATTTGACTGGTGAATTAAAAAGTTAATTTCAAGCCCTGGACCATAATTATTGACTGTGGTCATTTACAGCATCTGAGGGATCGGTTTGTGTTTTATTTAAACATAAACTGATTCCACATATTCTGCTAACTTCCACAATTTCATTTTTGTGCTCTTTACCTGGTGGGACATCTCTCCATGAGGTGATGAGCCTGGGCGTGCTCTTACTAAGCACAGGACCGACCTCAGAAGCCCAGGTGTCCCCTGTGCTGCAAGCCAGGGATCCTAATAGGGATAAGCACATCCATGAAGCAGAATATTGCTTCCCAAAATCCACAGGTATTTCTCCAGGACCAGCTTCGATCATATATAGCAGGGCCAATTCTGTAGGAACTCCACCATTACAGAAAACTTGCAACCAGTTCCTCTGGCCACCTGCAGAGATTAGAGAAGTCAACATCTGTCATAATTTCAGAGGTGGTTTTAGAAAGGTTGGGTTAGACAGCACTGGAATGATGTGTCTATAAACAAGAACTATAAAGCTTAATCATTTTCAGAACGTTTTGGATTTTTGTGGTCGAAAATGAGAGCCATATGGCTCGGACCAAATTAGATTTTCGGAACACAACCTGAAATGTATCTCATGATACCACCAGAGCTGATAGAAACAACTAAGCCTCTGCAGCACTCAGAAATGGTGAAGAGAATTATGAGGGCCAAGCAGACCAGAGCAGTTTAAACCTTAATCCATTCGATAGGACATACTGTATTTGATTTGATTTATTAATTTATTTAACATGTTTTAAAATAGCTACATTATATTCATATTTACCTTTGAGTTAAAAATATTAATTTAAAAAATATTTAGTAAAATCTTTCAGTCAATAGCTACGCCCATGAAATAAATGTATTAGATAATGTAATATTTTGGAGTTTTAGCAATTGTTTAAGGACATTTCACAATTTCAATCATCGTACAGTAACCAGCACCCCCCACACTTTTCAGGACGGAAAATACGGAAATCCATATAAATACGAAATCACATCCTTGCCTTATGTTAAAAAATAATGTGAATTGCACGGGAAGTATTTAAATACAACTCATGTCTTCGGGCTTATAGAATGACCTTTTATGCACTCATTCAGTGAGTTAAACAAGACAAACAACTAAAATAGAGATTTCTTTGGCTATTTAAATTCAAATTAAACTAAAAAAAAGAGGATAGAAATAATGACCAAATATCTGAATTGTTAAAGTAACAACTTACCTTCTTTGTAATCAGAGTCAATTTGTTTTTTGATGTTCCCCTTCCATTTGGTTAGTTTGGTGGATGTGACGAAAAAGGTGAACAAAGCTGCAAAAAAGCTCATGTTGGCCATAGTAAGAACAAAGCCAACCAGCATCGCTGCAAAGAGGAGGAAAATTTGTTTATTTGGAATTTATTAATCTAGTCACATCATCAACAGTACAGTAAAGTCCATTGGTAGCAACATCAAGATGATCCAACTTTAATATTATATAATATTACATCCTATGCTATTGTAAGATACTTCCGTCCTAAATAATTAACTTTCACAAGTTAAACCCTCATCCTTCCGGGTCATTTTGACCTGGAAATTTGTTTTGAAAAAAACTGTAAAAATTGAGTGTTCATCGGAGGGGTTCAAGACCCCATGACTTTGGTCGCACTTGAACCACAAATATACACACACACACACAAATTAATGGATTGGAGGAGTTTTGTTGAAATTAAAAAAAAGTAACAAATTGGGTGTGATGTCCCTGTCAGTCCTTCCTTGTGTGTATGTGTGTTGCATCTGTATTGTCTGCAGATGACCGGCTGATTGCGGCGTGATTGGGAGCACCGGTGCGCAGGTTCTTCGTTCCCTACAAAAGCTGTCGGGTTCTTGTTGGTGGAGGTGGCTTCTGCTCTGATTCGGCATGGCGGTTCCGGATGTTTCGCGTCGATACTGATAGCTGTGAATGGCCGAACTTTGGCTTAATTCAAAGAATAATGTGTAATAAAGTGCAGTTTTCAGCAATGTATTCGTTCTGTCATTATTTGTGGTGATTCTTTGGGTCAACATTGGGTCATAGGACCCCCATAGGAATAAATGGAATGTGAGGAATGCTTCAGAAACACATAGAAAAACCTAAAAATGCTCAAAATTCAAACTAAAAATGCTAAAACTTCACCAAAAAAATTTTAGATTTTATAATGTCTGCATGTGTATCTGAATGCATACTGTAGAAATATTGACTTTAGGACCCAGCGGAACAGCTCATTTGCTCCATATAGAGCTATAAGGCCATCTAGTGGCAAGAGTCATGAAATATCATGTTATATCATTTTTTTTTCCAAAAGAGGTCGGCAAAGACACCCAATGTAAGATATTTTGAGCTGAATTAAAATGTTACGTTTTTCAGTAGTTGTGGAACTCCAGTCAGTCAAGGCTATTTTATTCACATTAAACATCGGATGACATGATTATTTTCTCTTTAATATAGATGATGCTGCGTCATTAATAAAAATCATGACAAAAAATTTCTTTATTATAACCTATGTACTTTTGTCACTGATGTAGTCCGCCTCGCTATGTTACCGATAATAACGTTTACCCTTGTTTTATGCAGTCTATGGGTCTCATTCATGAAACATATTCGAGTAAATATGCGAGTGATTTGCGCGTAAAGAGACATTCCCGAAAACTCTTCTCCTGATTCACAAATACTTCGTAAACGTCAGATGTGATAGTGAAATGTGTGTGTGTGTTAATGAATTCCAATCAGTCGTAAATGGGATGCGCGTGCACGTTCATTCTCAATTACCATAAATCCCTTCTTAAATGTCCGCGCCAGCAAGCGCGTTGGGCCGTTTAGTGAAACTGACGCATATATTCATGGGTTTCAGTCACGTGACTTTTTTGTTGTGGCCGCCATCTTTAGGACCATTGCGTTAAATCGCATAATCTCTCCCTGGTGATCGGAAAGATGTTGCACACTTAAATAGCACAGATGAAAAGCAACGGTATTTAAATAAAATAGATACTTTAGGTATAGATCCGTATTTACTGTTAAACGAACTGCTGACTCCACTAAAGTCTAGTAAAAACTTGCCAAATTTTACGTTTGCTGACATTTACATCTAACGTTACCTCGTCCACAATCCCTCTCCATGTCCCCACCACTTTTGAAACATCTCGCGGCACGGATGTACCAATACACATAAATAAAAGGTGATCTAGCACGCTGAAATGTGTTGTTTTTTAAATCAAGTGATCAAAGTGCTTGTTGACTCTGGATCAGTGGTGCAGAAACAGTGTTCTCTCGTGACTCGCGCACACCGCACAGTCTTTACACGGACGCGCGCTTTAATCCAGTGAAATCACAAAATAAAATGCACACAAATGTGTTCCTGACTGATATACAACCACTGATAAACACAATCGATTTTAATAAGGGTTTTTTAATAAAAAAGGGTACGAGGGCGGATTAGAACCCAGAACCTCTGACACGCTTGGCAAAAGTTCCGCCACTGGACCATCAAAGTAGCCTACATATGTAAAATAGTCGGATGTTGAATGTCATTAAACAACAAATTAAATTCAATGTACTATTTACATTGATTGCTGGACATCGTAATGTTATTGTACAGGTATATCTGATTTATGATTTAGTGTTGTATTAAATGCCCCCATGAAGAAAATGTTCTTGATAACAGGAAGGGTAAGTGGCACTCTGTTAATCAAGCAATATTAACGTTACACCAGTAATCGCTGAACATAAAAGCATCGCTGAACTGAATTCCTAATAATGTTGGTAAAGCACATATCTCTTGTATTATCAGTGACGTTTGGACACCTTTATTTTCAATTCTCATTTATTTGTATAGCGCTTTTCACAATATTTCAAAGCAGCTTTTTTAGAAAATGCATGTGTCTACATTACAATTTAGAGTGTCCGAGTTATGCATTTCAGCAATGTATATAAATCATGCAGTTAGCTAATAATCTATTAATTTAAACAATGCATTAAGGCAGAAACAGTGAGCTGTAGTTTAGCATACTGAAGCAGGTAACAACAACATTATTCAGCCAAACGTATAACTAAGGTTATAATGTAAATATAGATAGCGGTCTAGAATAAGGTTGTATATAGAGAATATGTGTTCCAATTTTAAACTACATGTTTTAATTTAGCTAGCTAACCTGTAATTTGCTAATTTTACTTTTATTTAAATTTCCAGGTCAACGTTAATTTCTCAACATATCTTTGTGATTTGCTGTTATCACAGTTTACAGCACAGCAGATAGACGGCATGTTGCAATTCGGTCCTACAAATGGCGGCCGCTCCACTGTGTGACGTCACATGAAATCTATGAATAGCCTATCTAACGGCAGATGAAGTAAAACCGTAAATCTTTATTATGAGTCATAATCATAAATAGAGTGCATGTTCACAATGACACTTTAAATAAATAAAATAATGATTTAAACTATGTTTTACTTTTGATATAAACATTTAGATTAAATATGCCATTCCCATTAATGGAGTTAAACACTTAAACTACATGAAATCATTACTGAGAAGTTACAACATTTGTTTTATATTCAATAAATAGAAATATTTGTTGTGGAAGCAATGCTTTTGAACACTTTTCCTCTGGCATTCTGTGTTTTAATGTTTTACATACATAATTGCTTATCATGATAATAGCAGATTGTCTGAGAAAATAGTTTCGTGCAAATAATGCACAAGATCTATCTGTTTCCATTAAAAATATAATAAATTAAAAATACTATTTGGCCAGTGAGATTGAGAAACTTTCTCTGAAATGTATTTTACACTATTTGATTTATTTATTCAAAAACAAGGCAAAGCTTATGATTTTTATTAATGTAGCCTAATGTGACAGCACTTCCGTATTTCATATTTTCCTAATATCTTGTATCGTTAAACATGGTATCACGTGGATGAATAATCATATGCAAATGATATGCAGATGAGGATATGCATAGTAAAACTAGGCGTTGTAAGCTCCCAAGGGGAGGAGACGCATGTGCGCACATTCTTCCGCTGACTGGGATTTATAAAGTGAATTTTGCGCAGGTTCTGGCGTACGAACGGTTTTATAAGTCTGAATATTTTTTAGCCTACGCCATTTTTGGCTTTCGGGCGCACGTACACTTTTAGTAAGGATCCTACGCACAGTTTTATAAATGAGACCCCAGATACGCCACTATGTACGCTTGAAAATAAGCGTAAAATACGGTTGATGGTTGAACATGACTATAGTCTTAATAAACAAACTACAGCTAGTTCAAAACGCAGCAGCTCGAGTTCTTACCAGAACCAGGAAATATGACCATATTAGCCCGGTTCTGTCAACACTGCATTGGCTCCCTATTAAACATCGTATACATTTTAAAATATTGTTGATTACTTACAAAGCACTAAATGGTTTAGCTCCGCAGTACTTGAGCGAGCTTTTAAAGCATTATAGTCCTCTATTGCGATCTCAAAATTCCGGCCAGTTGATAATACCTAGAATATCAAAATCGACTGCTGGCGGTAGATCCTTTTCCTATTTAGCACCAAAACTTTGGAACAGTCTTCCTACCATTGTCCGGGAAGCAGACACACTCGGTCAGTTTAAAGCTAGACTAAAAACACATCTCTTTGTGTTTGGAAGTTTCCTGTCTGTCCTGCAGTTGCCACGCCCATTTTTTCTTTGCCACTCAGTTCCCCATGCAGTTCACCACACCTTCAACTAATTAGCTCCAATCAGCCACAGACTTTATTAGACAGCACCTGTGCACAGCCCTTTCTCTTTGTTCCTGCCACATGGAGGAATCCTTGTATGTTGCTGCTGGAAATGCCTTGTCTCCTGCCCTGTGTGCGTTATTGAACTATGTAAGTTCCATACGTTTCTCTTTTGATCGTATGTTACTTTATAAGACTGTTCCTTTCTGTCTGTTTAAATGTACAAATGTTTGATTGTCATTCAAATGGATTGTGGCCTTGTATTGTGGCATTATGTAGCTAATTGTATCTCATATCATTTCCCTTTTAGAAACCACACATACACACACACATTACACAAACATACCTAATAAAGAAAGGCATTGTGTAATCAAGTGACTGGACAAGACTGTTCTTATCGACACCTCCACTGGTCTCAAGCCAGCTACCTGCACATCCCTCTCAAACCTCCTTTTCATGGTCCTTCGAGCCGGAGCCATTGACGACCAGTAGAGATGTCCAGTCACTCCTTGCCTTCGTTACTTCAGCGTCCTCACCGCCAAGCCCAGCGTCCTGTACGCTATGATGACTACGTCATGGAATATGGTCAGCAGCCACGGCATCCTGCTGAAGCACCAGAGCCACCACCGCTTCACTCTGCA